AAGTTTATTTTGAATTTCAATAAACTAAACGTTCACCAAAAAACTGTAGTGAGAAAAATCGAACTACAAACATATTAACGCCAAACATTCGGTAGAATTTATAGAATATTTTAAAAATTATGGTCTATTACCAACATATATATATATATATATATATATATATATATATATATATATATACGTGTGTGTGTGTATATATATATATGTATATGTATATATTGGTTTTGTGTGTGTATATATATATACACGGTTATATTCACATATATACATTTATATATTTTTATGTACATATTTTCAAGTCTTCTTACATAAGAATGTATCATTTTCGTATTAAAGCTCTGGTTATATTAATGCTTGTTTGTTTGTTACAGCTGCTGTTTGATTTATTTATACTGCATTATAAAATAAAGCTCTATTTTATTATTATTATTATTGTTATTATTATTTTTGTTATCTTTATTGCTTGCTGTGATGGCGTTTTCGTGTATTTTAATGCTCGTAATTGGGTAACGCGTCAATTTATTGGTTACCTTTCATTCTGGTATGCGCGAGGTACATTTATGAAGCGACGCTATTTCGCGCTCGGGAGAATTTATGCAACGATACGATTTTAACGTTAGTTTACACGGTGAAGAAGCTGGAAAAATGATTAGGGACCTATTGGGGGGAAATTAAAAAAGAGTAAAAAGTTAAAGATTAAAAAAGTCCGATTTTGTTGGAGTTTTGATCGTTTGATCGCTTGTTTCGAAAGGATATTTCTCGTAATTTTATTGACACTGGTAGCTGAAAATTGAAGATTGTTTCTTTCAATCGAAACACTCTTCACTTTTCGTTCAGATTCGTTATGTATACTTTCTCCGATTCGATTGATTGGTTCATTCGTTTATAAGTTCATTCATTTTTTGTTTATTTATTTGATAATTCGTTTAGTTATTCATTCATCTTATTCATTCGTTTATTTATTCCTGCTCTTAAATCAGTTAATCAATCAACCTACCATCCAATCAACCAGCCAACCAACCGACCGACCAAGCTATTTATTCAACTAAGTGACAGTTATAATTTTTCAAAATTGAGTAACTCATAAACAATAATAATAATAAAAGCAGCAGCAGCAGAAATGGCGATAAATAGCATTAATTGTGATAATATCAATAAGATGGTGATGATAGTAATAGTAATGATATCAATAGTGATGATGGTGATGATCGTGGTTAATTTTTGTGACGTCATAGTTCGAGTCGCGAGGACTGCAGAATCGGAAGAGGATATCAATAATTTAGTAACTATTTATATCTTTGCCCATCTGTCGGCAAAAATAAAAAATACGCGGTGTTTAAATTTCTGTAACCGACCAGCTCGTTTCGACGCGATATTAATAATAATATGGTCAATAATAATAACAACAGTATGTTTGTATCATGATTACAATATTGTAAAAACAATTGTGAAGTAGAAAAAAGGTTGGTCAGTGCAATATAAACAGGGACGGAAGGGAGGGAAAGGTTTGGCTTCATCAACTAAATTTCCTGCTCCTGAAGATGTTGTTGCTGAAGTTGGAATTGCATTTGCTGTTGTTGTTGTTGCTGCTGTTGTTGCTGATCCTGGAGAACGTAGAGTTTCATCGGAGACATTCGAACGTGCTTTCTGACGCTCAGTGTGATGAAGAAGATGAAAATGGCGTTGATGAGGAAGAGCACGGCCGCCACCAGAGCCAACCAGTAGGACCAGCCGAAGGGCAGAGTGGGCCGTGAACCTCGAAAGAATGCTCCGTACACTGCCATCGAGATCACTGTTAGGATGCCTGTGAGGTTGTGTTGATGTTGTGCTGATGTGATGTTGTATTGTTGTGATGTTGTATTGTTGTGGTGTTGTATTGCCGTGGTGGTAATGAATACGTTAATTATAGTTGCACAAACAGAAAAATCATAGAAACTTTGTACATGAAATAACCCAGCATTATGCTTTGCGAAAAGTACTAACAAATGAGAATTTGCAGCCAGACTTGTGCGAAGTAGGTCTCGGAGCCAGCGAGGAAGCCAAGGTAGACAACGAAGAGGATGATGATGAAGGCCACATTGAAACTCATGAGCCACTGACTACACGGCAACTTCAGCAGCGACACCTCCTTGTATTCTGCCCAGATTGAATATCAATGAGTGGAAATATTATTACATAAAAAGTTAATTAAATAAAATGATTTAGGTTACATTACGATGGTGATGACAACTGAATATATAGTGATATACCTGCTGACCGACCATTCACATTTCAATATAATTAATTGATGAATAACCTTGTGGTACGAACTGGGCAACCAATCTTCTGTTGGTCAAATCAAAAATGCAGTCACCCCTGATGCACATTCGAAACAGACCCATGGACCTCGGCTCGATTGCAATCAGGCCGTCGGGTCTGGGGTAGTACTCGACCCACCACGATGTGCCCCCGTACGCTGCGAAGAAGAAGATGGACGCACATAAGGCCAGGGCCACCGAACACCAACTCTGAAGCGAGAACGGCTGGTCCCAAGTTGATTTGTTCATTAGTTCCTTCATTTTGCAAGATTTGTTGATGACGCCAAAGAATTATTTTCAGCGAAATGTTTGCGATTAAAAAGTAAAATAATTTTAGTGAAATGTGACTCGATAGTCAGCTATAAATTATTATAAATCATCAATTTCAGTTTAAAATATATATCTGCCGGACGTGAAATTATTAATTATGTACTGAACTGCACAGTGCTTGTTTGTTTATGTATGGGCCATTATGATCTTATCGTATGCGACACAAATTTTTATTTATAAGCAATGTGAAATTTAGTAGTCCAAGAACCAATGATGTTTTTTAAATTTAATCTGAAATCGGAACTAAATGTTGAACTCTATAACAATCTACTGATAATTTTCCAACACCTTTGTTGTTGTTGTTATTGTGAACGTTATTTACAGGTGATACATGCACACTACAGGTGCGAGCAAAGAAACTTTATTCTTAATTATCGGCTTGCTAACGACTTATTCCACACCATGGATGTATATATCCATGTTCCATACTGCTGTTTTTATTTTTGTGCAATAAGTTTTGTATTTTATTTAGAAAAGTACGTTTCATCTGTTTAGCTCGGTTTCAAGTGATTAATATATTTGCTAAGAATTATTTTTACTACTGTAGGAATTGAAATGAAGCCCTATAATTCAAACGTTGGCTTGAAAACACGTTAGCAATGTTAGCATTATTATTTTTTTTCATATTTTTTTATATTTTTAGCTCGTCCCGATCACTAAAATTTAAACTGTTTGGATTACTCTGCGTTTAATTCAATGTACCCCTGCATTCAGCCTCCTGCAAGTTTATTTATAACAAAGTAAAAAAATACAATAGAGCGTACCACAATTCCCCAGCCCGCCTACACATGCTACACATCAACTACACAAGCTACTTATCACATCACATCCACACAACACACACATCACATCCACACAACACACACATCACTTCCACACAACACACATCACTTTCACACAACACACGACACACATCACTTCGCAAAACACACATCAATTCTACACAACACACATCACATCCACAAGTACCGCATCGCGCTTCGAGTATTCAGTTTAGCCAGGCAATCCAGTCAGCTTGTTTAATGAAGGTGTTTTTTCTACTTTAGGACATTAGCGAGTGTAAATTTTTTATCAACAACTCTGAATAATTTCGAAATTAATAAAACGGCTTCTTAGATATTTTTGGCGTTTATTATGTAGGATCTGCCATTTCAAGAAACTGATTTTCTCAAGTTAGATTTTTAACTGCCAGCAATTCTAGGTGCTCTTATTCACGTTGAATATTTCTTGAGGAATACATTACAAAAGAAAAATAAACAGTTAATAAAACAAGTCAAGCGTCTGATAATGTACATGAATGTGAATGAATGAAGATGTACGCGAATGAATGAAGATGTCCATGAATGAATGAGTGGTAGGACGCACTGCAAAACATCAGACAAGTGTTTTGCAATGTGTCAACTGGCTACAAAAAAAAACTTCATTTTTTAAGCTGAGTGAGAGCCACGTTATCAAAGAAGTAGAACGATCCATCACTGCATGTGCATTTAGACATAATACATGTGTACCTGATCTGTACACATGCATGTTTGTACGTGCTTGCATGTCATATACACACTACTCCAGTAGGAATGTAAGGGTTTTTAGACTTAATAACGCACGTTTATACACATGTGTGTGTGTCTGTGTGACTGCGAATATTTATGTGGCACATGGAGCTTATAACATCAATAAATAGTCATAAGCTATTTCCATTATTTGCAAGCCCCTGGTATATTGTCTGCTTAAGTGCTGCATGCAAAATGAAAAAACAGCCAGCCAGCCAGCTTCGTGTGGACGATGAAGAATCAAGCAACACGCCACATTTACGAAGCATGTCAGAAAACCATAACGCTTTTTAAACATTATCCACTTCGCTCAACTCTTCTTCTGAATAATTTCGTTTGAATTTTGAAAGGCATCAATTTTTAAATCCCCGGCTTAAAATTGTCTCGTCGTTGACTTTTCAAAAATTTATTTGAAAATTTCGTAAAAATAAAGATGAAAATATTTTATTATGGCTAACGAATTAGCCTAGAAGTCGTGTCATTTGTCGTTTCTATTGCGTCATGACCTGGTTCGATTACAGATACTCCACGACTATCATTTTGATATTTCTTGTGGTGATTGAAAATGCAGTTGTGTGGTGTGACACAAAAATTCAATCGCAACCAAGTAAGGAAAAGCCTATAAGTGGCTCTGTTTTTGCCAGCCCTACGTAATAAAGCACAAAAGAAATTTTTGAACACCAGTTTTCAAACCATAGTTTCCACGTGTATGTATTTTTCAAACCTGGATGAATTAACCAAAAATGCTACTTTTTATGTTCATGCGTGTGCGCATGACCGCAGAGATGAAAATCATAATTCAGCTAAATATTTTTCTTACTATCCAAACCATGCATGTTTCTAAATCGTCAGCATTTAAATTTCCCTTTACCATTGACGAAAATCTCTGTAGCATTCATGGCAAATGATTAAATGAACATTTGGAGTTGAGTAGCTTTTTAGCTTTTTGATGATCACAGGGATCGCTATCATAACCATCACCACTACAACAATCTTAATTACTGAGTTTGATTCATTGATTCACTTCCTACACGTATCAAAACAGCAATCGCCATTTTCATTTTTCAAGTTCACGGTTGAGTGACCACTGGTCAGTTGCTGGTCAGTCCTTCTCGCATGTATTATTTATTTCAGTGTTTTATTGTATGAGTATTTTGTTGCTTTATTGTTTTCTACTGCTAGTGTTGTTGTTGCTGCTGCTGCTGTTGCTGACGTTCTGGTCAACATTTTCAGGATCGACCGACACACTTTCAATCTACCAGGTCGTTTCAATTTGTTTCTTTATATTTCATCTCAGATTTTGAAAAATTTTCAGTCGGCTCATTGCTTTTTTAAAAGAATTATTTTATGAGTTCGCTTTTGAGTTTTAAAATATTGCAAAAATCTTATTATAAAAATTGTGATAAAGAATTGCTGCTGGCTACGTTCCCAACTGAACACTTATGAATCATCATTCACAAGTCCACACAAGAAAACTTTAAAAAGACAGAAAAAATATTTAAGGAAAGAAATATGAAGACAAAAAAATAAGTTAAAAAATTATAAGGGGTTGATAAAAAATACTACGAAAGAAAGCGACAGAGAAAGAGAGAGAGAGAGAGAGAGAGAGAGAAGAGAGAGAGAGAAGAGAAAGAGAGAGAAAGTGAAAAAAATGAGTGAAAGAAAGGAGAGAAGGATTCAAAGAGGGATGGTGCTTTATATGCTTCGAATGGCAACTTTGCTCCGTTGAATTTCACGCGCCGTCAGAATTTGTAAGTACTTGTACTTTGTCGCAACCTGTTTCGTTTTTACCCGTTATAAATTTATTGAACGGTTGGTAATGTTATTTTAATAAAACTTGAAGCCGAAAGATGAACAATTTCTTGTAAATTTTCCAATAAATCTCATTATTATAAATTAACGGATCCATTAAAAACTATTATTAACGTTTATTAAAAACACCATTCATAAATTTTTTATTAATGATTTAATTGATAGCAACTTATGAGAAAGTTTCCTGACCTGCCTAAAATCAATAAGAGGATGCTGGTTACGTGAGTTTATACGTTCAATATCTATGTAATCATTTGTAATGATATCATTTGGTACATCATTTCATCAATGTTAATGCAAGTTTTTATTTAGTTAATACGTGATTGACATTTGATCAGCGTGATCCAAATAAGCAAAAGAAATTTTCTATGTAGAGTAATTTAAAAATTCAGCGAAGAAAATCAAAATGCAGATTTTAAAATAAAAATGGTTAAAGATTGAGGAGTTACCAACGAGACTTTTATAAAAAAAAAATATTTGAAGATGATGATTGAATGAAGGATGAATCGAGATGAGGTAGGTTGAGTTAAAAAAATGATATGACCAGGCAATAGGCCATATGGATTGAATTAAATTTTTTAAATATATAAAGACAGAAACTGAGAAACCAGAGTTGTTTTGCTCCTAATTTGACGCGAAAATGTAAAAATAAAAACGACGAAACCGAATTTCAACTCAACAAACATGAATGCCAGAAACTATGGCTAACCAAACTCCACCATCGAACATTGAACAGCAGCAAACCCAAACACACACACACATACATCCATTGTAGTTCCGGCAAATAATGCTGACGTCATCTGCAGTTTTTTTTTCAACAGAAACACATTATTGATAAATAAAAGAGAAATAACAAGAAAACAATTAGCAACAGTGGGACATTAACACGCCGTAAGGCTTTTAATGGCCGTCTTATTTGCTTCAATTGTTGTAATAATTGTTGTATAGCACTTCAATATTCAGTGATAGTATAATAAAATGTAGTTGTTGTAGCAGTAGTAGAATAAGTAGTTATAATAAAAGTAAAATTAGTAACCGTAACAATACTTCTAATAGTAAAAGTAATTAAAATACTACATGCTGTCACATGACATGGTAGTACTATTGTAGAAGTAACAGTAATGTTAAGGAATGAATTTTAAAAATTTAAACTATCAACTCTTGTCCGTCAATTAATATGAAGAACACACACGATAAACAACACAAAAACAAACAACACATAAATATAAGCAATACACAAAAAAACACACAAAATGAATGAGTGACTGATTGAATAAAAGAGAGAGTTGCTACTAATAAAAAAAATTATAAGAAATAAAAATAAAAAAAAAGATAGTAAAAGAATGATTTAATAAGTGGAGAAATTATCGATATGACACGCATTTATGAAAGCTGAACTTTTAGTCAAATTTACATGTATGTGTGTATAAGATGTTTGCGGGTAAATGTGTGTCTAACTGAAAAATTTTTCCATATTATTGTTTACTTCCATGTTTTTTAGCACGTGATCAACTTGATTAAGCACACACATAAACCAAACACACACACACACACATACACACACACGCACACACATATAACTACACACATACACACACGCACACATACACACACACACTTAACTCTCAGCAGTGAAAAAATTAATTTCGATCTTCAATCCAGCGGATTAGAAATTAATTACGAAATGTCGCTTTTAACTGTCTGCTAACGAATGTAGGTTGAATGTTGCAAGTGATGTTGCACTGTTGCATATACACGTCGCAGAACCGACTCACGACTAGCGTTTTGTTGGTTTCGTTTTATTTAAAAAATGTAGAGATACATTAATTTATTTTATAGACGTAAAATTATCTTGGAACCATCACATTAAATGAATGCCAAACAGGATTTGGAAAATTAAAAAAAATTAATTTCTCTAGAAGTAAAACCGATTGAAGACGTTTGAACGTGCCATATTTAGTTTTCAATTTTTTTGTTGTTTGCCATCGGTGAAATTTAACAAAAAAATTTATAAAAGTACGGACGAAAAATGTTTGGAATTTATAAAATGTATAAAATATAAAAAAAAGAACAACTGCATCTGACCGAGTGGTTTCATCAGTTGAACATTTCTGACCGGCAGTTGTGAATGTGTGTGAGCATTTTGAAGTTTAACTTTATTATTTTTAACTATTTAATTATAATTAACTATTATTTATAATTTTATACAAATATTTTTATTGCAACGCAAAGCTAAAATTTCAACAACAAAAAATTCGAGATAGAAATGCGATAGGTCGCACTGTTGCACATACACGTCGCAGAACCGACTCACGACAGTAAAACAGACATTTACACGCTAACATCTTATACACACACACATACATGTTTGTTTGGCATATATTTGAGAAAATTAAAATCAACATTTATTTACACATTTATTTATTTATTCATTTGTTGAAGATTTGGAATGATATTCACGCCTAACTTACGTAAAATTGATCAGAATTTGAGAAGTTTATAACAAATTGCGACAGGATAGGAGTGAATTATGAAACTTTTCGTCCTTCTAACCAACGCGTCAGATGAAACAAGTCTCACTATATCAATTGGAACGATTTTACGATTTTATTGATGTCACACATGCACACACACACACACACACACATACACACATACACACATACACACACACATACAAACACATACAGAAATGCAACACACACGGGTTCACACATATAAACACAAACACACTCAAATATTGCGAGTGTCTGTCTATGTGTAAATATTGTACATTTATGTATTATTTTGTCATTTATAGAAACAAATCATAATGTGTTTTACTTGAATGTATGCAAATATTTAACTAACGGCCGAAGTGCCATATCCATATTCATGTATGTATGTATGTATGTATGTATGTATGTATGTATGTATGTATGTATGTATGTATGTATGTATGTATGTGTGTGTGTGTGTGTGTGTGTGTGTATGTGTGTATGCACAAGAAAAGTAGTAATAACAATCAGGGGTTCACCTTCTTCCTCAACATAAAATCATTAAATAAACATTTGTTATTATTATTCTTACTTTTGTTGCTATTGCTGTTATTATTATTGTTGTTGTTGTTGTTGCTGTTATTATTATTGTTGTTGTTGTTGTTGCTGTTATTACTATTATTGTTGTTGTTGTTGCTGTTATTACTATTATTGTTGTTGTTGTTGCTGTTATTACTATTATTGTTGTTGTTGTTGCTGTTATTACTATTATTGTTGTTGTTGTTGCTGTTATTACTATTATTGTTGTTGTTGTTGCTGTTATTATTGTTGCTATTATTATTATTATTATTTACGTCAGCAATTTTGCAATCACCATCACTTACTTCGATCAGAGCCATTACGACGGTCGTCATCATCATTCACGTGACGTCATCACAAACAAGAAGAAACAACAACTCTCTCAACCAACAGTCATATAATTAATTATCCTCCGAGGAATCACAATAAATACTACTATCACTACTACTACTACTACTACTACTACTACTACTACTACTACTACTACTACTACTACTACTACTACTACTGATACTGCTACAACTATTACTACTGCAACTACTACTACTACGACTACTAATACTTCTACTATTACTGCTGCTGCTACTACTAAAAATATAATCATAGGAAATTTATCATTGTTAATCATCGTCATCTTTACCGTTATCATCATCATCGTCGTCGTCATCATCATCGATAAGACCATCATTATCAAGTCATCATCTCCACCGTAGTTATCATCATCGTCCTCATCATCATAATAGTGCAGAATATTATCTTGCAATTAATCAACACCATGGCTGGCTGGGGACTATAGAGTCAAGACTTATTGTCCACTAGGGGTTCATCACTGCCCCTACCTTCACCCCCTTCTAGCGTGACGTCATCATCCTCACTATTATTACTATTATTATTATTTTTGTTATTATTAATATTACTGCTGTCATTATCATCATTATCACCATCATCACCATCATCATTATCATCGTTATCATCTTTTTAATCAAACATTATCGTCACAATATTCAGGCCATATAATTTCTTCAAGATCCAACTTTGTAGAACGGTCTAATCAGCTGTACGTCTGACAGTCGTCACAGCGTAAGACTGGATTTGAAGATTTGGAAATTTCAGATTAAGAAAGTAGAGGAAGTTCCTGGTTTTTTCAAATAGGAAAAAAATTTTTTTATCAAAATTTGGCAACTAGATATCTAAAAATAATGCGTCAAGTAAATCTTATTAGAAACTGAATTACCTCGTCAACAATTGAAACAAAGCACTGACGTTGGAAGGAAATGTGTGAAAAATATTTGAAAAAAAACTTAGAAGCTGCTGATTTTATTCATTGTGGGAATGCCCTTCATTGTTTTCAGACTCCGAGGTAGTAGCTTGCTCTCCCTTAAATATGGCCTGGAGAACCAAAACTAAACATCACTTGTCTAAACGCAGCCAACATAGGCAATTATGCAAAAACACCAAAAACAACATCAAGCCAAGCAACTAAAAGCCTTTCCCTGAACAAATGCGACAACAAAATCGTTCAGAACAGTTGAAAAAAACAATAGCATTAGGCATAAATAGACAAAGGCATAAAAAGGCATCTTCGGAGATGTGGAAAGAAGAAAAACATCGGCTGACAGCAACATGTTGATTAATGCACCATACCTCCAACAGCAATAAAACAACAAAAATAATTGCCTCCATCATCATCATCATCATTATCATCGTCAACATCATCATCACCTTTATCGTCTTCCACTAAAACAACATCATTACCTACAACATCATCAATATCATCACCACTAGCAACAACATCATCATGACTACCACTACTACCACCACCCCCACCACCCCCACTACCATCATCATCACAACCTCCGACTACATCTCCGACACAACTACAATATTGACCAACACAGACAGATTGGCAATTAGCCTCGTAAATCTGAAATGCATTTTCTGCCTCCTTGTTATAAACGTCATCACTCCATTTTATATTTCATGATGAAAATAATAATAAAATAACTACTTTTAACACTGCTACTTCTACAACAACAACAACAACTACTACTACTACTACTACTACTACTAATACTACTACTACTACTACTACTACTACTACTACTACTACTACTACTACTACTACTGCTGCTACTGCTACTACTACTGCTGCTGCTGCTGCTGCTGCTGCTGCTACTGATACTTCTATTGCTGCTGATACAATTACTACCACAACTACTACTGATAAAAATAATAATTATTATTAAAACAATTATAAAACAATGACTTGAAATTTTTTCAGGGGTACACTTATAATAAACGGACAAGATGACAAAATGGCGGAATAACAACTTGAAAATGGCGTGAACGATTCATTTTCTTTTCTATAAAAATGAAAATGCGACCCAACTCACAAACGATGATTCGTGGATGATTTGTGGATTGATTAATTCACAACTCAGAAACAAAACATCAGGCTCTTCACATTAGCAAAATAAATGCTGATAATCAATTGCTTAGAAAGTTAGACGTTGTTTGGATTGAAATTTAAAGACTGATCTTCCAGCCATGCAAATCAACATCCTCACTCATACCAACGGTGTTGCATACTTTCCAGACTACAAATTCCACCACTACAACCTTCAAAATGACAGCAACAACACCACCATTAACAACGACAACAACCTCAGTTACTTTATCATAAGTTTGAACAGCTATGACATCAACTACAGCACAACAACAACAACCAACACATCAACATCGATGACATCAGACAACGTCAACAGCACTGACATCTTCACAACTCTTCACTACTTCAATCACCGATATCAAAAAATCCACGGTTACCTCAGTCTGCTGGTCAGTCTGTTTGGCGTCTTCTCCAACATCATCAACATAATCGTGCTGACCAGGAAGTCTATGATCAGCTCAGCTACAAACCTGCTGCTGACCGCATTGGCGATTTTCGACCTACTGACCATGATGTCATACGTGCCGTTCACCATTTATTTTCATTGCTTGACCAGTCTAAACCCGGAGGAAAACCACAAGAAAGGGTGGATAATTTTGCTGGTGTTTCACTCCAGTTTCACCATCACCACGCACACGTGCGCTATCTGGATCACTGTCGCCCTAGCCGTCTTCAGGTCGGTCGATCATGTTAGAAAAAAAACTTTTCAGTGCAGAGTGTTTAGCATTTCAATATTATTCTCATTTTTCATTTGTTCAGCATAATTCGAGCTAACAATTTGTATTTAATTTCATTGTTAAACAAATAACGAGCAAATTTTGAAAAGAGTTGCATTTAAAAATGAATAAAACTGCTTGAAACTTTCTGACGATATAAAGCTTTTAAAATAATTTTATTGTCCTTTTTTACATCAGGATTTTTAGAATTTAAATTTTAAATTTACAAATGCGTTTAAAATTACTTTTTCAACGTTAATTTTTTTAAACTCAGTAAATACGATGTTTAATTCCGCAACACGAATTTTGAAGAGGCTTTAAAAAGTTGCTTTCATTTCTAAACATATTCACGCAATCGTGCTTTCATAATGCAAACGGTCAGAAAAAATGTTAAAAGGTCGCCTATAATTTTGTTAATAAACGAAAAATTTATCAAAAACTTGCAAGAGATAACGAAATTTTTTCGAAAGGTGTTCATTCATTTTTGGCTAGCTGGAAAGCTCTTCAGACCAGCGCAGAGTTTTCCACGCAAGGAAATCCAGACAAATATCTCAATTAATTAAACCAACAGATTCAAATTTAAAATTTTCAACTCATCCGAGATATTTTTAAAAAATATCACGTTAAATTTTTCTTTACACCCATCTTTTTGTTTCGTTAACCCCATGGTTGATGGTAATCTGCAATGATTTCACCCGCGCACGCACAACAACATCGTCGTTTGCATTATTATAAGCAAACGAGAAAAAAAGGTGAAGCCTTATAAACTATTTTCTACAAGCCAGGAAGGGAATGCATGGTCGTGGGAGGGAGCACTGTTCAATTAACACTCTCGACGGGTCGTTATTTTTAAATATTTTCAATTAGCAACAACAAGTTTTATTCAAAATTTTTTCACAATTTTCCCTTTGGAATCAAATTTACATGCTAATAACATTTTGTAAAATTACGTAGAAGCATTTATTACCGAGAGTAATTATCTGTATGCACTTTTTATTGAATGCTATTAAATTAAATTGAAATTAAATTGAATTGGACTCAATTTTGTTATTCGCTTCATCCAACAATCCAGCAATCTATCATCATATTTATCTTACAAACCATTGTTTATTTGTTTATGTTGTTTTGTTGTTTAAGTTTCTCTGTTGCATTGTTGTTTATGTTTGACTAACTTTAGCGTTCATATGCATTAAGTATTCAGCATACATATTTATAAAAAAAACCACATTGTCTCCTATGAATACTTCCGTGTGAGTCTCTCGTGAAATGAAACAACATTCTTATTTTGGTCGTCTGGCATCTTTGTATGAATGCGTTGCTTATGAGCGATCAATAAAAAAAAAAACAATTAAAAGATATTCACGAAATAAATTCAACAATTGAGAGACTGTGCGGAACAATTATAAGACGGTTGCCGAACAATTAGAAGACGGTTGCCGAACATTGGACGACATTTTTGAAGGGCAATGTTCTTTTTATTTTTTCTTCACGTTCACAACCATCTTCATGAAGTTATTGAGGGGAAAGTAAAGTCCTATTAGAAAAAAACTTTTCCAGTCAATTTTATTTTATTTTAGCATTTATTTGTTAGAGTTGTTTTTATTTATTTAAAATTAGAAAAAAATATTTTTGGAATAAATCGTTGCTTTATGGCTGTCTTAAAAAATGTTGTCAACAGGATGCATAGAGGTACAGTGCCCCGTACTAAATCCGGTTGCGATGGACATTTAAAATTATTTATATTATTAATGAGTTATGTATATGAGATTATTATATAAACACGTCTTCTCATTGCGTATTCTCATTCTCTTCTCTTTCTCATTTACTGAACAATTCTGATTGGATCAAATGGTAATTAGAAAACATGCGGTCTTGTTTCTCTTAATTCAAATACTTGTTCGAAATTGTTTTGAAAATAAGCAGTTGGTTATATTGATATATGTTTCTGATACACACATTTGCTCATCCACAAACATACATTCACACGCATAAGCGGCGTACTTATTCACACACACACCACACACACACACACACACACACACACACATACACATACACACACACATACACACACACACATACACGCGCAAGCACGCATACAGATAGCGCCACACTTATCTGTCATTTATGATTGATCTTCCAGTGTGCTCACATAGGAGCACAAACATATGTGTTTACGAGATAAAAATAATTCATTGTCTCTTCATTTTTGGTTTTCTTCACTTTCCTTTCTTTTGCCATATTTTCTTGTTTCCCTGCTTAGATATCTTTTCTCATAAACAATTTTTTTTAATAAAAATAATTATAACATTCACAATTTTCTGATTCAAATTTCAATTTTTAATAAATTTTTTTCAAAGTATATAACCCTTATTAATTTTTTTTATTTCGATCGCAAATAAAATCATGTAAGTAGGCGCTATAATTAATTCATGGTTTCATAAAATGCCTCGTAGTTGTTACCGCTTGTTGCATCGTCAACTATTTCTTGCTGTTGCTGCAATCCATCCAGATCATCTTACATTTTATCTTTCCAAATTTTTCGTTTACAAAAATCTCCTCTTATTATTTTAACAAGAACCTTTTTGTTCATTTCCTCTAAGAAACATTAACAGAACGTGTTTGTCTATAGACAGCATATGTATGTGTGCATACGTGTTTGTGTTTTCGTGTTTACATGTATATAATGTACATGCGTATGTATTTATATGTGCGTGTGGGGTTTGTGATCTGATAAACGTATAAATACATGTGAATTCGTTGCGTGCAGGTGTTGTATATGTGTGTGAGTACGTCTAATCTAACAACAGTCTAGTCTATCGGCAGAGTCTACAAAAACCGATCGTGGCCAAACATTGGATAAATGGAAGGATGCAGTTTTCCCAGAGATGTATTCAATCTTGAGTGTCGTCGTGTTCTTAAAAAATTGTGGAAATGTTTAAAAAATTTGTTTTCACTGCTCAATAAATATATATATATCTGACTTAGGCCATAAAAAACATGAGAAGGTCGTGAAATTTTTTATAGATAGGTCAGGCAAAACTTTTAGGACTGATGCAGGCAAACATTCTGCTGCCTGCGAGCATCTTGGCTGCAGTTGATCTGCTTGGCCCGCTGCAACATTCAAATGTACCAATTGATGCCAGAATACTTTAATGAATGTAGACACAAGGGTCTGTCTAATCGCTCGCGCTATACAAATTTCATTTATGCGTCTTAAAAAAGTTTATGCTTCTTAAAAATTTATTAGAATGCACTTGTTACAAACTTTTGTTTGTCCCTACTTGCTTATTCCATTCATTCATTCATTTCATTCATTAAATTTAAGTTCAATTCATTCATTCGTTCGTTCGTTCATTTATTCATTCATTCATTTATTCATTCATTCATCCATCCATCCATCCATCCATCCATTCATTCATTCACACACACACAGAGTGAGAGAGAGAGGAGAGAAAAAGAGAGAGACACAGACAATCACACAAACACACACACAAATACACACAGAGAGAACACATACACACACACATGCACGCACGTACACATAATGGATAGTTATAGGTACGTCTGTGCAGACACCGGCTAGGGACGATTTATTTCAATTAAAAGTTTGAATGAACTGGCTTTGCTGAGATATCAAGACATTTATCACGTCGTATTTAATTAAATCAAATTCCGACTTTGCGATTGAATGAAGAAATAAAAGATGAACAAATGAATGAGCAGACAAATCTATAAATGAATGAATGAGTGAATGAACTAACGAATGAATGAATGAATGAATAAAAAATTTGGTTGTTTTAAAAGAGTTCAATAACTAAGAATACTAACAGGGCAAACGAATGAACCAAGCAGAAACTTACAAAAAAAATGACTAAATAAATCCGAACGTGCCGGTCTGCTTATGCTGGTATTTATGAAAACTTCTGTGTGTGCGTGTGTGAGAGAGAGAGAGAGAGAGAAAGAGAGAGAGAGAGAGAGCGAAAAGAAAGAATGTGTTTGTGTGTGTTTGTGTTTTGTGCGTGTTTTGTGTGTGTGTGAGAGGAAGAAAGAATGTGTTGGTGTGTGTGTGTGTGCGTGTGTGTAAGAGAGAGAGGGAGAAGAGAGAATGTTGTGTGTGTTTTGTGTGTTTTGTGTGTGTGTGTAGTATATGTATCTAAAAAATTAACGGTTTTAAGTGAATACCAATAAAAATAAAGACGAAATGAATAAGAACGAGATTCATTTCATCGATTCGAGTGTTCAAGTGGAGATAATAATAATAAAAAAAAGAAAATGATGAATAAAAAAATTAATAACGCCTTGAAGATGCAAGATACTCTGCTCCGACTCCGTTACTACTGACTTAATTGCATCATTATCGTTGTTCTTGGTGATCTTTATAATTATATCTTTATTGTTTCATATTTTTATTTCTGGTTTTAGTGATTTTTGCTGTCTTCTTCGCTTCCAATTGTTTCATTTTCTGCTGGTAAAAATAATTTATGCGATATGTAACCACAGTCCAGTGACACTAGAAATTAGCCAAGTTAAGTAACCAGATGAAAGAAAAATAACTAAAAGATTGAGAAGTTTTCAAAAAGAGAAATAAAGATACGTACACACACACACACATACACACACCACACACACCACACACACACACAACACACCACACACACACCGAACAACATTATTGTCATAAGTGACGTCACTCGTCAACGTTATCAATTTGTTATCACTTTGTTATCACTCTAATCATTATATCATCATCATCCTTTTTGTTCTCCGTCATATTTTGTCTGAACTGTGAGTTACTGCTACTAAGCGTTATGGATTCGTTATTCACTGATTTGTAATGTCATTGCTGCTATTATTTTCCGTGTTGTCACATTTTTATTTATCATCATCATCATCATCACTTTCATCATCGTCATCACCATCGTCGTCGTCATCATCATCATCATCATCATCATCATCATCATCATCATCATTGTCATCCAACGTTTAAGTAATGGAGGTGAGCTTACAAAGAAATATCGAAGACCTTTTAATATTAGGCCTGCCATTATCATCATCGTCGTCATCATCGTCATCATCATCGTCACTATTGTCATAATCATCATCAACAACAATATCATCATTATCACCACCATCATCATCAACATCAACGTCAACACCATTATCATCATCGTCGTCCTCATTATTGCTACTTTACACTCGCCTCAAATATCATTCCATACATATTTTGAAAGCCTATTTGCCTCTATTTTTTTAATTTTTCTAACACTAAATTTTCTCACATCATCCTCACGTTATCTTTATCACCACTAAACTAACATCGGTCGCCGAGTTAGCTCAGTCGGTAGGAGTGCCAGGTTTCGTACAGCTTGCTGCTGAGCGACGGCATGGTTCGAATACTGTCTTTTCTGTCCAAAACTCAAAGACCATCATAGGCGTATGAGGCCGTATGTGTGTGTGGTGTGGTATGTGTGTGTGTGGTGTGGTATGTGTGTGTGTGTGGTGTGGTATGTGTGTGTGTGGTGTGGTATGTGTGTGTGTGTGTGTGTGTTGAAGATAGTTTGTAGAAACCTTGTGGCACAAAAATTTTAATCACAAAAGTAGGAAGAAAAACATTTGAACAGCTCTACTTTAGACAGAACTGTCTAGTGAAGAATAAAAAAAACGACTGTCATCACTCTTATCACCATCACCAACGTTACTAACATCATCATCATCCTCCTCACTATCATCATTACCATCATCTCCATCTGCACCACACCACATAAATCTTCATCATTCAACCGGCCAATCAGATATATATCAGTTTGCAAGCCATCCATTGCGATTAATTTCTGCAAGAGGAGCCGGGCGATGATGGTGGTTGGTGTGGTCTGTGTCGCCACCACCGTTGCTTGTTCCCCTAATTACTTCATGTATAGTACACAGGCCCAAGAAAATAGGACAGGTATGATGATGACGACGAAGGTGTTGTTGTTGATGATAATGATGACAACGACGATGTTGTTGATGATGATGTTGTTGATGACGATGACGACGATGTTATTGTTGATTATGATGATGATGATGATGAAAGAATTATCACTCATGGTAACGTAACATTAGAAGGAGTATAAAAATCATTGTCATCAGTATCACTAAAAACTTTTATCAACATTTTAAGAAATTTTGCAGTAATAATAATAATAATAATAATAATAATAACAACAATAATAATAATAATGATAATAATAATGTTGTTGCAGGTTACTGGATTGATAACAACGACTTCATATCAGCGGAATTCAAAAATTTTAACTTCTGGCTATTCGGACTTGTCGCTAAGGTGGTGGTGATGATGATGATGGTGATGGTAGTGGTGATGGGTATGATAATGATGATAACGATGGCGATGATAATGACGATGATGACGATTGTGATGATGATGATGGTGCAACTGTTACTGCTGATGATGAAGATGAAGATGATGGTAGCGATGTTTTCATCTACTTATCAGTTGCCATTTTTTCATTCAATAAAAATTTTGTTATCTTTTAATATTTATATTCTTTTGTTTTCATCTTTATCTACGTCATCGGTGATTATCATTCCATCATCATCATCGTCATCTTCGAATTTAATCAGACAAGACTACCCACATTTAACAATGTCAGTCCTTGCTCATAACATCATCACCAACATCATCACTTTTATCATTTTTTGTAATCACCATATGGAAATTTCATCACATCAGCTGTCCTTATCATCATCGTCGTCGTCATCATCATCAGTATCATCATCATCCTCATCGTCTTCATCATCACAGTCATCATCATCACATATTTATTTTATTATTTTTTTTATTTGATATATTCATTGTCGATGTCATCATTATCATTACCATCATTACAATAATCCAATTCAAACTCCAACCACAGATAATACCCTGTTTATTGCTGACGTCACTGAGTAGTCTACTGATACATCGCATGCGATTGGTCAATCTAAGGAGACGTAGCCTGGTCAGTGTGCCGCAAACATCGCAGACACCGCAGCTGCAACAAGATATACCGCAAGATATACCACAAAAAATAGCACAGATACCGCAACAGTTAACGCAACAGGTACCGCAACAGGTACTGCAACCGGTACTGCAACAGGAAATACCACAGATACCGCAACAGGTACCGCAACAGATACCGCAACAGATACCCAATGATATATTCCAAGAGATATCACAGATACCTATCTCCTCAAATAGTATTATACCAAATGTTAGTAGCGTCAACACGACAATCGCTACTCTTGCAACCACTAGTGCACACACAAGCGCTACAACTTTTAATCTTAATATTATGATTGATAGTGACACTCTTTGTCCTAGCGATACTTTCTCTTCAAAAAGAAGTAACGATGGCAATGTGGCTGGCTCAAGTGAGGCTGGAGCACAGAGCAACAGCCATACAGATGACTCACTAAGCTTCTTAGTTGTATCGGCTAATACTAGTTCATCTACAACTACAGCAATGACTACCACAAATGTTACTGCCACACAAACTACAGCCACCACAGCAGTTACTTCTCCAGCCACTACTACCAGTTGTTCCGATGTTATCAGCTCTGATGCAAATCTTCACTGTGGGAGGTTGCGTGATAGCGTGTATCGAAATTATAAAAGTATCAACAACGGCGACAGCAATCCCAACAGCAACAACAACAACAACCATGACAACAACAACAACCATGACAACAACAACAACCATGACAACAACAACAACCATGACAACAACAACAACCATAACAACAACAACAACCATGATAACAACAACTACGACAACCATGACAACAACAAACAAACAAAAAAATGCAGCAGCAACAACGACAACAAAAATAACTCTAATAATCGAAACAGCGAAACCGCACCCAAGACGTTAATCGTCTCAATTAGCAACAAACTCTCGCGCGGAACTACCCACAGAAGTACTTACATTTCAAAAATAACCAGTTCAAAAAACTCTTTTAAAACGACGAACAATGCCGAGTTTAACAACAACGCTAAAAACAAAACTTCAAAAGATGCACTCAGCACGAAACGCTTCCTAAGAAGCGGCAGGAAGACGTGGAGAGCGACAAAGATTCATCTGAAGTCGACGCAGAACGTGTACGTGAGCGAACGTAACAGGGAGCACCAACGAACCACCATCATGCTTCTGTCTGTCCTCTTCTCCACCGTGCTCACTGAGTTACCTCAAGGTGATGAAGATGAGGATGGTGATTATTTGGTGATGATGATGACTGCTTGGATGATAATGGTAATGATAATAATAATGATTATAATATAATAATAATAATAATAATAATAATAATGACGATGATGATAATCATCGCCATCTACTGAACTAACGCAAACATAGGCTTGTTAGCTCTTTGGTCAGGGTTTGACCAGAGGATATTTGACGAGTGTTACGTGCCACTGGGAGACATCTGGGACCTCCTGGTCCTCATCAACAGCGCCGTCAACTTTCTACTCTACTGCCTTATGGGTAGACAGTTCAGGAAGACTTTCTTGGAAGTTTGTGGTGATGGTTGTGGTGGTAGTGGTGGTGCTGGTGGTAGCGACGGATATATGGAGAGAGTTAAACGTGTGTATGAAAGTGTGTTTGATTGAATATGTTTGAAAGGTTTTGTGGGGTTGAAAAAATATTACAACGGAGCTTCCAAACAATACGAAATAACAGTAACGTTGATATAAAAATTTAAATGAAATTTTAAAAGCAAATCTCTGAAACGAGTGCAAATAACTAAAAACTCCTCTGCGAGATTTCATTTCTATATTATCGCATTGATTCAAACAACCAAACAACCACACACACACACACACACACACACACACACACCACACACACAAAAACATACACAAACACACGAGCACACACACACACACAGTCATTCAGACATACACGTACAAGCGGGGTTGCATGAACGCTGCTTATGAGCGAAGCCTTTTATGGACTACGTCCGTCTTTTATGAAATTAAATAAGGGTTTACATATTTGGCATTTCTCGTGTTCTTATTGAATTGGAAAATAAATGACATGTACTGATAGCTTTAAGAGATTTTTTGTTCTGCTTGCAGATTAAGAGAAAAATTTGTTTTCTAAATTTTAAAATATTATCAAAATTAAAAAAATTAGTTGCAAAAAATTTTCCAGCGTACGATGAACGCCGCGTTGGACCGGCGAACAAATTTGTATATGCATGGAACGAGAACGTGAGCGAAGGTATTCATTGTTTAGAACTGAAGCGTTTTTTGTTAAGCGTTCATTTTGCGTGGTGCGTGAACGAACTTGCGCCGTGCTGGATTATATTCATTCCGTGTTCGCTCGCTAGTGGGTGGCATCGGCGTTCATTTGATTTGGCATTAATGCATGCATTGCCTGGGGGTTACAAATTCTTCCGTTTATAGTTTTTTCTATTTCAAGTATTTTAATGCTGACTAATTTTTTTTGTTCTTATTGTTTATAAAATGGCTGAAACGAATTTTATTTATCTGATGAAAATGTATCATAGAGCAGTTTGATACAATGTTAACTGAGAAAGATTTGATACAACGATGTTTTGTACGTAATGAGACCAGTCCTATGTTCTCAGCGCTATCTCCGCTGAACAAATGTCTGATTTGTGAATAAATTTGCTACTCAATGAAATGAAACATTCCAACAGCGAAACCAGTTTGAAACGGTCGTAAATTCTCCATTTCAAAATAATCCACGATTCGACTGCCAGTAACAAATTGTGATTCGCTGCCGCACGTGATTGCCGAAAATTTATAGCAATAATTTCAAAATTTTAACCTTAAAAATGACATTGATAACAAATTCATTTGTAGAACCAGTAAATGGAATGATTTGCTTACTGAAACTACACTCAGACAGACTCTGTCATCCAAACTATTCGCTTATAAACATTTACTGAGTTGGTACTGTCAGTTATTTTGTTTATGTAGACAATCAAATTAGCTCAAACCTGCTGGTGAGTACCTTTGTTCGTGTGTGTGTTTGTGCGTGCGCGCGCGTGTGTGTGTTGTGCGTGAGTGTGAATTTGTGCGTGCATAAACCTGTGTGTGTGTGATATTTTGGGTAGGCAGCGATAAGTGTCAGCGAGGAGCATTTATTAAATTCAGAGACACGATGTATACCATTCTGCATTCCATCCAGTATGTTAATTGTGCTAGGAGGATAACAAGTTTTAACCTGCTACTTTTATTGAATGCATTGTAGTCATGAAAAAATAATTTCTATACAAACCTGATATCAGTTCAAACGATTCATATTAACAAGAAGACATACACGTACACATACACTCACGCACATGCCTACACATGCACATACATACATACAAACAAACAAACAAACGTACATACAAACATACATACACACAAACAAACATACATACATACAAACGCACATACACTATCGTGCGTATATAAATAAACCGACAAGTATAAACGATGTTAAATCAAATTGCAAGTGCACGATGAAACGAATAATCTTTCTTGTAAATACAAAGGGAGAGGGGAAAAACGCCAAACTTTTTTAGCAGGAAAATTATTATTTTATTAATTGACTGCAAGTAAAATTTTTTAGGGAAATGATTTGCAGTTCGGTATTCACTGGCCTGCAGGGTGCTATCAGCTATGTAGCACAAACGTGGCGAACAATTTTTTTTTGTTAAAAAATCAGACTTTGACAGGCGCAAAACTGTTACAGCATGCAAAATGACTAGCAAAAATATAATAAAATGAAAAAAAATCAATTTTATAATGATGATAAATTATACCACAGACAAACAAAAACAAAACTTGTACCTACACTGCGTATACACCTCCACAAATACATACATACAACACAAACAAGAGAACGAACGAACAAACCAACAAACGAAAACTAACAAACAGACAGACAAAAACAAAACGTACATAGGTCGGTAGAAACTTGGCGATCGTAAATCAAGCAGTGAGTGTTCAGTGAGAGGAGCAATCAGTTTCATACGTTGGTGTAAAAAAATGTGAGTAGAAAAACTTGAATGAAACTCACGAAAAAAATAGCAAAAACAGATTAGCAACTAAGCCGACATATTGAAAAGAAATTCCAAAAATAAACCTCTCAATGCAAGAGAAGAAACTGAAGAAAAAGAGAGAAAAAATTAAATGACTCAATAAATAAGTTAACGAGATAAAATATTCACTCAATTAACAGTGCCAAACAGTCGGAGTTCCCTTTTGTTGTAATCATCTTTTTCACCATCATCATCACCATTGACGTCATCATCATCGTCGTCATCATTGTATTATCTTCATTATTTTTTTCTACCCGGAAATATGAGCTTGTATGGGCACGCACACATGAACACACACACGCACACATTTTCACACATACAAACAAACAAAAAAACAGACACATTCACATAACACACACACAAACAAACAAACACACATCCCACACACAACCACATCCACATACAAACAAACACATCCACATAACACTTACACAAACAAACAAACACACATCCCACACACAAACACATCCACATACAAATAAACACATCCACATAACACATACATAAACAAACAAATGCACACATCCAAACACACACAAACAAACACATACACACATGTCTACACAACACACACACACACACACAAACAAATTAATCGTTCAACTGCATTGAATATATCCACATTCAAAAACTGAACGAAAGACAAACTGCCAATGTATAAAATTGAAACGTTATATCGTCCTAAACTCCTCACAGTTTTCAGAGCCGGCTGTGTTGTAAGAAGTTTGCTTCTGTCAGAGCTTGGTTTTTTTAAATAATAACAATAATTATAATCATAATTATATATAATTATAATATTTATAATTATTATTTTCATCATTATTACCAGCATCATTAACATTCTCATCTGAAAATTAGAGTAGTTCCGTATAAGTAATTGAAGGAAGGTTTTCGTGAAAAATTAATTCTCATCGTCCAACCAGAAAACATTTGCACGCTCGCAAGCAGATGTTGAGTTTCATCATCGTCATCATCATCGTTATCATCTCCCTACAGCCCCGATATAATCATTATCATCTATTGCCTTCATTCGGTTTTAATGGTTTGATATTTGCTATTTCAAAAAAGAATCTACATTGCTATCGTCGTCATCATCATCGTCATCATCATTATAGTCGTCATCATTATTGTCGTCATCATCATCATCGTCGTCATCTTCGCGGTTGTCATCATCATCCTCATTAGAATTTGAACAGTTTCCATCATCATTATTTTTATTATCGCCATTATTGGCGTGTCAGTCATCATCGTAATCTTCATGTAGTGTCATAACAGCGGCTTATTGTATTTTGTTTTTATTTTAACGTTGCATTTTTCATACGTGAAACCCCGAAATGAGAGTAACTCAATGGAATCGAAATAAGTTCTTTCTGTTCTATAAGGTTTAAATAGGCTTTTTATTAAGTTGTCGAATTAAAATTTTCATAATAATAAAACTGTTTTATACTTAAGCACCGTTTTCATAATTAATTATTAAAGTTAATTTCGTCATTTTTTTATGTAATTTATTATTAATATTCTCATTATTACTTTGATCGTCATTATCATTACCATAATCGTCATCATCGTCGTCGTCGTCACCATCCCAATTCGTGACGAATGACGTTATACAAAGTTTCACCTGTCCCCCTCTCCCCTCTTAGTATTTTGATTGAATGACACGTCCGAATCTTTGTTTACATTCACTTTCAAGAATTTCAAAACTTGAAGAGAAGCAAAGCAATCAAGGCGATTGCTGCGTGGCAAAAGCCACATGGCACACACACACAGACGCACATATTCGCACACACAAAGACACACACACAGACGCACATATTCGCACACACAAAGACACACACACTCACACATGCATAAGACACACACAGATACCAGACACCATATGCTGTTTTAAAATTGCTTTAATATTTGTTACAACACTTTTAAATTGAATATTTCTTAGACAGCCTCCCATTGAAAATTTAAAGGTTTAAAAATTTATACAAAAAAATTAACAATTATATTTCATGACTGATGGATTTTAACAACTCCCAAAAAAAGCTTAAAACCAACCGACATTCAATTCTAACAACATCATTACATCACATTAACAATGTAATCACATCATAGAGAGCACGTCATTTCGTATGCGACAAGGAAGATAATAGGGGTAAAATTCTTTTTCATAATTTTTTTATTGTTCTTGAAAAAATCAAAATCAGACAGACGCAGATATTGCTACAACTTGCAAGGCAGTACTATGAGACGACGATAACATTTCTCTCTCTTATGTAAAAACTAATTCGGCAGAATTTTAATTTAAGAAAATTTAAGAAGGATAGGAAAAATTATTGAGAGAAAAAAAACTTCTGAATAACTTAGTAAATACTTTCTGGTTAAGTATTTCTTGGAGAAGATGATTGTTTGTCGACGGAACGACGTGATGTTGAAATCTCTCTTGAAATTATGAATTCAGGAAAAGCTCGAACAATTATACTCAACTGTTTGTTGGGTTGCGGTCAACATAATTATGTTTGACCATCAGCTTTTACATTATTGTTATTGTTAATTTGTTATTATTATTATTAGTAACAGTAGCAGCTGTAGTAACAGTAGTAGTAGTAGTAATAACAGTGGTAGTAGCAGCACAAGTAGTAGTAGTAATAGTAGTAGTAGCAGTAGCATATTAGTAGTAGTATTAGTATTTTGGTAAAAACTTACTATCGAAGCAAGGCCTCCTTTTAAGTTAACAAATTTAATGCATATAATAATAAGAAGAAGAATGTTGCTTGCTGGTGGAGTTGCGTTGAAACGTTTGCTGTACAGGGCTCATTATTTAATTTTTATGCATAATAATTTTACCTTCATTGTTCTAGGTATGTCTTTATTTATTTATGTGTTTTTATTTCAATGTTTATTAAGAAATATATTTAACAAACAGGATGAT